TTGTGTTGCTGTGTTTGAAATCACCCCTTAGACTGGTTTTGGGGCGAGTGGTAATAAATGCTTGTTTAATCACTGGAGGTCTCCTGCAAACACTTCAGCTCCAGCCTAATGGGCTTGAATTCAGGTGCTGCTCACAGGATACCTGAGTTGTTTTCAGTAAATTTGCTCCCTGTGGTTAAAGACCTGACGTTTCTCTTCTGGGTGAAATCTGAGTGGCGTAGTGAAGCATTAGATGGAATTCCCCCGTGCCTTCAACAGAATTCCTCTGTGGTGGTGGACAAGTGAATAAATCCCAAGTTTTTCATCCTTGGGCATTAATTGCACAGCTAATTTCAGGGTGTTTAACCTGAGATTCCCGAGCCCCCTAGGTTCAGAAGTGCTAATGGTCACAATTGCAACAAAAGCAAACTCTGCAGGTCCTGGAGAAAAATACTGCGCTTTCTGAAAAATTAATCTCAGATTTTTAATTGGACGTAACAGGTAGAAACTTTCAACAAACAGCTTTGATTTTCCTGTCATTGTCTGGAATTACTCAGCTGTGGAGTGGGTCTAAATGTTGCTGCCTAACGCTCTGGAGCTGTAATGCTGATGCAGGATACTCTTGCAAAGCATTCCCATACGCTGCAGAAATGCCTGTTGGGGGATTAATGATACTGGGTTCGGTGCAAATTTTTGATACTTTGCATGAAACAAATCCGCAGGCCATGCTGAATGAGAGAGCTCTCAAATATTACTGTGTTAACCAAATGAGCCGTGGGTTCTTTGGTCTCTAAAGAAATAATAATTGATCACAAAAGTAATAAAGGGACAGGCAGCTTATGATTGCAAGTGAGCCGTTGTGGTATATTTTAATCCCTAATGTATTTCTTTGGAGGTGTAATGTAATTAAGGAAGTATTCTGGATTGAGAGGTCATTGCAGGGTGGTTTCTATTCAAAACTAAATGTTCTCTTTTCTTTTGTATTAGCTGCACTTACTCAGTCTAGCGGCCTGGCAGCAAAGTTTGTCATCCACTGTCACATCCCACAGTGGGGCTCAGACAAGTGTGAAGAGCAGCTTGAAGAGACTATAAAGAACTGCTTAACGGCCGCAGAAGACAAGAAGTTGAAGTCTGTGGCTTTCCCCCCGTTTCCCAGTGGCAGGTATGACTCTTATCTGCATAGGAGGATCCTATATCAGGTAGTGATGGGATAATTGGCTCTCAGAAAGCTGCTGCTGTGATAAAGAGGTACCCTCTGGTCTGTGGCCCTCCGGAGAGGGCTGTGGCAGGTCCATCTGACACCGTGCTTCTCCAGATTAAAGGAGCTCAAAGTGCAGTGGTCTCATGGAACAACCAGAAAGCCTTAATACAGAGAAATTAGCTAACCCCCAGGAGAGCTGAGCAGACTTGCTGTGTTTTCTATTGCTAGGCAGTAATTTTCATTCTTTTAATAAGGGCCTGCACCACCTTAGTTTTTATCTGTCCCTTCACTTTGCTGTAATAATCTTATAATCATCTTATTAAAACTACATTTGTACTAATAAGATTATACCAGCATAATAGGGAAGGCAAGTTACAGTGATGCAACCTGTGCTAGGCAAATGTAGGGTGCTCACCTAAGTCATCCTGAGAATATATAATAAACAGACTAGTCACACAAAATGTTTTCTTTCAAAAGAAAAATCAGTGCTGCTTAAATATAGTTGTGCTTTAAAAAGGGAACTATGACACCAACTGTGAAACTACAATAACTAGCAAATAAAATGTGCTTGACTAAGAAATCCAAAATATGTATCTCTCTCCCCTTGTCTTTCTCTCCCCTTGTCTCGTTTCTTTCTCAATAACTAGCAAATAAAATGTGCTTCACTAAGAAATCCAAAATATGTATCTGTCTCTCCTTTTCTCTCTCTCTCTCTCTCTCCTTTTCTCTCTCTCTCTCTCTCTCCTTTTCTCTCTCTCTCTCTCCTTTTCTTTTTTTTTCTTTTTAACCCTCAGTTCTTTAATCTTACTTGATCTCTGATCACAAGAAACCTTACACAAGCCCTGCCAACTCCAGAAGTTGTTCTTTTGTGTTGGAGTTCACACACTTATGTTTAATTTGAGACGTAACTACTAATTTTTTAGTAATGCCCAAAGAGTACAAAGAGTTGTTTTGGCCTGATAGTGAATAAAATGAAAGTAAAGCTGCATTTTGATTAGTGAAATCACCACACGTCACTGAATACACAGGAGGTGAATTTTTACACAGGCACTTTTCAAGACAAAATAGTATTTTTATGGATCAGGACAAAAAAAATAAATAGAGGGGCAGTGCAATATTTAGTGATTGTTCTTCCTTTATACACAGATCTCTTTGTTTATAGCGTTCAAAGTGATAAATTGTTTTACCACTCTTGAATAATAAAGTTCAGCTTTCAAAAGGGAACTGTAGCTTTTAATGCCAATAGAAATAGTCTCTATAGACCTCGTGTCTCCTGTAAGCGTTATCTAAGAATAATCCAGTCTTGGAGCATTAGTCATAGTGCAGTTCCTTCTGCTGCTTAGTTCCATTTCACTCTCTGTTGCTCTTGCAATTACTCCTGCTAACAGAAAATAGAATAAGTCTTACCATGTGCTGCTGGTTTACACTTTATTTATCAAAGGACCTCAAAGTTGTCTGAAAAAAAAAGGGCAGTTTTTCAAGTAAGACTTAATGGTTTTGCTGTCATTTTATTCCACCTACACGTCTGCACAAGAAATGCTGGGGGTTTTTTTGGAAAGATGAGGAATTATGCTGTGTTGGTTCTGTGAATTTTCATCTTTCCTCTCTCCTGCCTTAGGGACTGTTTACAGCAACTGATATAAGGTACCGATAGATGGGATTTCTCAATTGTGCCGGGACTTTTCACCTCTGTGATTTTTGTCATTAAAAAGTAGAGAAATCCAGTTTAGATGAAATTACTTGTGCTGTGAAGCAGACAGAAATTAACTGAAAAAACATTTTAAAAACATCCTTATCGATAGCTTGCTGCCAGGAAGGAGTATTAGCTGGGTTACTGCAGATGCTGTCCAGGGACTAAAAGCAGGAAAATCTGTTTGCTAGTAATCATTTGGACTAGAGTGAATATGGATACAGCAGTTGTTGATGACTAGTTTCCAAGCTCTTGTTTGGATGGTTTTTCATATAAATTTGATAAGTAGTCTAAAATCACTAACGTGAAATTGAGTAAGAAATGAGTAGTACTAAACCTGGTAAGGGAGATAAAAACAAATGCACATCACAGTGCTATCAGAGAGCGGGGAAAAGAGAAGAACACTGCAAAGAAATGCTGTGATTTTTCAAGTGTAAGGATTGTTAGGCACTGGGATGGTTTATCTGTGTATTCTAATGTAGCCCCACCAGTGCTATCAGAGAGTGTGGAAAAGAAAAGAACACTGCAAAGAAATGCTGTGATTTTTCAAGTGTAAGGATTGTTAGGCACTGGGATGGTTTATCTGTGTATTCTAATGTAGCCCCATCACTGAAGATCTTTAAGTATAGGTTAGACAAACTTTTTTTCAGAAGCAGAAGAGTTGTATTTAATCCTACCTCAGAGGAAGGACACGCACGGGGTTGTGCTGGCCCACAAGTAGTTGATATAATTAATAGATTATTTTTTTCCTGTTTTCCACTAAGAAAACAATCATCCCTCGAATTGTTTAGCCTGCCCAGTGTAGCATAGTTTAATTATAAGGGAGAGTGATAAAAAAGCTCTGTGTGGTTTCAAATAACTAGAAGCAAATTAAAAGAGTAACTATGCCATCAAGGAAACCAGAACAGCAGCAGATAAATATTGCTGTCAAAACCTTGGGCTTTGCTTCTGGGGTTTACACCTTGCAAAACTGCAACTGTGATACTTTTGCACAGATGCCTGACACACACTTGTTCTCTTTTCTTCCTCTGCCCCCTAGAAACTGCTTCCCAAAACAGACGGCAGCCCAGGTGACCCTAAGAGCTATTTCCACCCATTTTGACGGCACCAGCTCTTCCTCCTTGAAGAACATTTACTTCCTGCTCTTCGACAGTGAAAGTATTGGCATCTACGTGCAAGAAATGGCCAAGCTAGACACTAAGTAGCGACGGCAGCCAAATGAAACTTTATTTTTCAACAAAGTTGAGTAGCATTAAAAGCATTAGAGGTGGGTTTTATTTTTTCAATGTGATGAGGAGGGGGAGTGGTAGTAGTGTGATGTGTTGTGACTTGATGAAGAGCTGTGACTAGAGATGAAATGGGTTTAGTCCGATTTCTTCATGCTGTCAGCATCCTCTAGCCATTTATATCACCTGAAGCACCTGAGTTACCATCTCTTTTCAGGAGTTTGTTTAGTGTCCCTTGTTACTTTAGTTTAGAATTTTTTAAAGAGTAACCTCATTTTAGATTTGTAGTGATAAATTTTTCACACACACACACTTACTTTAAAGAAAGCTCTTAAAAATATTCTGCTCACTTTTCCCCTCCCTTGAGGGTGGACGGTAAACTTCTGCCTCTAGCCCCCAGAGAGGGCAAAAGGATTTTAGAAGTGATGCATGAGGAGCTCCTGTTTTGCTTTTAATTCACAATAATCTCTGCAATTACTGAAAATATTTCATGGTGATTTTGTTTGTTTTATAAGAAAAAAAGAAAAAGATGTGTCAAGTGTGGTTATTGTTTTAAACCTTACTTTTACTTTAGGAATTTCTCACCTTAAGGATGAAAAAAAAGAAAAAGCAGCACCATCTGTAACGAAGTGCTTGCTGTGTCACACACTAAGCACACAACTAACCTGTAGTGCTGTAAGTGATGTAATGAAAGCTGTGTTATATTCTGTTGAGTTCCAGGATTACTGCAGCTTCTTCAAGGCTTTAGACAGGCTTTCTCCAGGCAGTGCTGTGAGCCATTCTTCCTGTGTGCTGCAGAGCACGTTTTCCAGGTTGGTAAAAGGCAGGTACTTTTTAGAAGGACAAAAGCAGAGAAAGCCAGGGAGAAAAAAAAAAACCAACCGCATAACAAACAAACCACAGAGATTTTGAAAACCACAATGTTTATTGTTACAAATCATGGTAAACCAAGTTTCTTGCTCAGAGCTATCTCAACGAGGAAGTAAATGAAACATTCCTTCCCTGTTTTTTTTATCATGAGAACTTCTGTGCACTTCATTTGGAAAGTGCCTCCTTCCTTTAGAGCAAGGCAGGGCACCGCTTTAATGGAGGTGGCTTTAGGAGGTGCTGTTGGAGACAGTATCGGTGTGTCCAAGCAATTAAAGTGCACCCTCACCCTCTTCCAGTTGCTGTACTCCTTGTAGGTTTGTTACTGATACCCCCTTAAGAGGGCATTGTCTGTCCCATTGTCTTCCAGCTCTTGGAGACAAACAGGTCTCGACTTTTAGCAATGGTCACCAAGAGACGTCCCACGTAGTAGCCGTTCACCTGGCCTACGCCATCATTCCTGCCCATTGACAGCAGGAACGTCAGTGACCCTGCAAAGATGATGTAGAAGTTTAACTGAAGCAATTTCAAAGCTAAATATCAAACCCTACTACATGTAGGTGTTGGACTTCTTCCAAACCCTCGCTTCTCAACCCTCCCCTCATACCCACACGCACCGCTAAGCGCAAGGCCCGTGTCTACACGACAAGGAAAGGAGGAGGCCCAAGGAGAACTACTCACAACTCCCCCTCCTACCATCTGCTCTACCTCTTTCATTAATGGGATTGCTGAAGGACTGGGCTGTTGGTGTGTGTGCTGTAGAACAATTCTCCCAAGAGGGAATCCAAGAGGTGGACAACAAAATTTAAGTAGAAAGAAATGTAAATAGACTGGGCAGCCTTTAAAAAGCAAACTGCTGTCCAGATATCCTCCATCCACATGGAACAATTTCAACATACTCATGGTAAGTATTTACATCAGTTACTTATTAATGAGACCCATCACCTAGCTAGATTTTTGAAACCAGAACTGTTCAGTTTGTGGTTTTTGTATAGTTTAAGGGGAGAAAGGAGGAGAAAGTCAAGTCATCAAGAAAAGGAAACAAGTTTGATGAGTAGCAGACACCCACCAGTAGATTTATCAGGAAGATATTACTGAAGAAAAATAGACTGGGCAGCCTTTAAAAAGCAAACTGCTGTCCAGATATCCTCCATCCACATGGAACAATTTCAACATACTCATGGTAAGTATTTACATCAGTTACTTATTAATGAGACCCATCACCTAGCTAGATTTTTGAAACCAGAACTGTTCAGTTTGTGGTTTTTGTATAGTTTAAGGGGAGAAAGGAGGAGAAAGTCAAGTCATCTCCTTTCTAGGATTTATTTGAACAGTAAGCAATTTAACGAAAAGGAAACAAGTTTGATGAATAGCAGACACCCACCTGTAGATTTATCAGGAAGATATTACTGAAGAAAGGACACATTGCAGCCATAGACTAACACAGGTAATTAACTTCTACAGTGTCTTTGGCAAGAACCAAGATGAAGCCTGAGCTATAAGCTTATACAGCCAACCCCAGCTGTGGGTTCCCTCACCTCTAATTAGTGTCCCATGCAAGTTCTGAGGCACATCTGTTACACTGCTGTTCCCTACAGAAAAGCAGCCCAACAGCTAAAGCCTGGTGCTAGGAGATGACCTTACCTGGTTGGTAGGTTTTAAGAGGCTTATGCGTCAGGCTGTTGATGATATTTGTCACCACGACGTTGGCGTGGAGCCCAGCGTGGTAGGCCATCTTTGGTTCCTTCAGATCTGCGCAGTCCCCGATGGCGTAGATGTTCTCGTAGCCTTCCACCTGGAGATGCTTGTTAACTTTCAAAGCGCCATTACTTGCCATTTTGTCCCCTGTTTTGCCAAACAGTGAGTGATCAGAAGGAGCTTTGTGTTGCTTGTTGTGGCCCAAGACCCCCAAATGCTGATGATGTTATCGAACATGTCACTGACACAAAGTAAGGAGCTGTTTTTCCCTCCCTTTTTTCTACATGTTAGGGAAGAGACACTTTTTGCCTTGCTGTAGTTAATGATTGCAATGAATCACCCTTTGATATTTCAGTAGAAACATTAAGAGCTGCTGTACACAGCCTGAGGAGACTGTAATGGTCACACTGCTCCATAGTTGTGGTGCCAACTGTATGCAGCCTGAGAAAGAGACTGTAATGGTCACACTGCTCCATAGTTGTGGTGCCATAACTGGAATTGGGCTGTAAGAGGACCCAGACTGAAGATGTATCACCAAATAACTAATCAGCTGAACACCCTGTGACACTGGTAAGTTCAGCAAGAACACTGAATGTGCTGAGCCTATTTTTTGCTCAGAACTCAGCAAGCTTCTATCTAGGATGAAATCCTAGGATGAAAACTCCTCAGACAAGCAGGAGTTACCATCAACTTCTAGGTGTCATCTGCCTCATGCTGAACTAAAGTTCCTTGGAGATATTAGCAGAAGGAGCTGGTGAAAACTGTTGGCCAATTGATTGATGGTCTGTAAGTTTCTGAGGGTCACATTTCACAGTTTTTATGTGACTTTAGAGCAGTATCATGGAATACCCACTGCAGGTTGTATAGGGTTGATTCCTAACCTCACAGCACTCAAACGTAAGACACTGAAGAACTGTGTTGCTTCTCCCCACCCAGTGGTTTTTTTTTTCCACTTACCAAACACAGAGGCGTAGGCTGAAGAGTTAATCTTTATCCCCGTGCACAGGACCACCATGTCAGTAACCACCTCGGTGCCCTTCTCTGTCCTTACTACCATGTCCTTCTGGAACCGGTTTGTCTTGAGGTTTTCCTCATTGCTGACCCTCTCACCTGTTGGGACAGAGAGCCCTGGGTCACAGACCTTGAGGTTTTCCTCATTGCTGACCCTCTCACCTGTTGGGACAGAGAGCCCTGGGTCACAGACCTTGAGGTTTTCCTCATTGCTGACCCTCTCACCTGTTGGGACAGAGAGCCCTGGGTCACAGACCTTTAGGAGGCCGCCGTTTCCAGCTGGCCCAGGTGTATCTAGAGATAAACAGGAACTCCAGGGAGCCATGCTTAGTCAAAAAAAGTCAGCAAGAGGATGTCAGAAGGAGATGCTTTGGCTAAAGGAGGAGCAGCTTATAGAGGAGCTTCAGAGTCTAGATATTCAGAGGCATCGGTAAGTACGTACTTAACAAGAGGCGCACTCCTTTTCTGAGGAGAATCTCCTTCACCTCCTGACGGACGCTATCTAGCAGCTCCACATCAGCTAGGGCAATTTTTGAGTGAATGAGGGTGACCTGTTGGGGACAAAACAGCAGATGGGGGGGGGGGGGCCAGGGGTGGGGGGCAG